CCCCTACAGCCAAATTCAGGGAAGGCGTTACTCACCTAACCCAAACCCAAAGATGTTTCTGCTGTAAAGAGATTCCCGGGCATCACAAATCATAATGGGAACCTCTTACCAAGCGTAGCTCATTTAACAAAACCCTTAAGGGATCTCCTGAATGGTCACAATATGTAGATCTGGGGGAGCACAAAACAAAATGCATTTCATAAAATAAAAGAACTATTGACAACTCCACCTGTTTTGGCACAATATTTGGTCAAGTATCCAACAACAGTAGTGGTGGGCACATCTCTGTATGGTTTAGGAGCAGTGCTCACACAGCCAGGAGGAGACCAGAGACCAGTTGCATTCATACCAAGAAGTGTCACAGAAACCGAGCAGCGGTGGAAAAGGAACTCTAGGAGTCACTCGGGCCTGTGAACGGCTCAGTGCGTGTCTGTTTGGCTTGAATTTTAATATAGAAACAGACCACAAATGCTTAGTTGCATTATTGGATTTGAAATCACTGGATGACCTTCCACCTAGGATTCAAAGATTTTGACTATGGCCGATTCGATTTTCATTCACCACTGAACACAGATCAGGGAGAGCATTCAGGGAGGCAGACATTCTACCGAGAGCCCCAGAGGAGCAGCCACCAATGGAAGAGGAAAAGGCTTTGAAGCAAGATGACTAAACTGACCTTTTTCTGGCAGCAATTCCAGCATCTGCCAGCTGACTTCAGCAAATCAGAGATGAACAACTAAAGGACGAGATCTGCCAGAAACTGACTCCCCTCTGCCAAAGAGAGTGGGGTTGAAGGAGTCAACTGCGAACAGACCTGCTACCATCACATGACCAATGGCCGGCTTCTGCGGGGATGGTGCATTCTTATCCCCACGGTATTTCAGAAAGAGATGCTCTCCAAATCCATGAGGGACAACAAGGTATAAACAAGTGCAGGGCAAGAGCCCAAGAATCTATGTGGTGGCCCAGTCTGAGTAGGCAAATTCAGACCTTAGTAGAGGGCTGCAAGGGCAAGATAGGTAACAAGTCGGGGAAACAATCACCAGGACCGATACTCTCCACAGAACTACTGACAGACCTTGGCAGCGACTAGCCAGAGAGTTGTTTTTCTGTAAAGGACACACCTATTTTATTGTAGTTGATTACTTCTCCAGACATATTGACTTGGCTTTACTTAAACAGACTTCATTGGCACAGGTCACCCAGAAACTAAAGTCAATGTTTGCAAGACATGGAGTTTCTGAAGTCCTTATATCTGATTACGGGCTTCAGTTTATCTCTGAAACATTCCTAGCATTTGCAGAGAACTTGGATTTTGAACATCACACTAGTAGCCCATATTACCCCCAGAGCAATGGGGAGGTGGAGAGAGCAGGGCAGATTTTAAAAGGATGTCTGCAAAAATCAGTGAACCTGTATAAAGCACTCCTGGTATATCGGCCAACACCACTTGTGTCTGGACTATCTCCAGCAGAACTTCTAATGGGAAGATGAGTAAGGGCGTCTTCACCTGTGGCACCAATACAGCTTAGCCCTAAGTGGCCTGATCTGAAGGAATTTTGAAAACTGGGGGCGGAAATAAAAATGTGTCAATCACAAAACTTCAGTGTTCTACACAGAACAAAAGCGCTACTTGAACTGAGAGCAGGACACAAAGTTTGGCTGAAAAGCTCTCAGACATTTGGAGCTGTTTAGAACTTGGCAGATGCTCCCAGTTCCTACCTAGTGGAGACTCCAAAAGGACTTCAGATTCCTCTTCAGTATTGCCCAACACAACAAAGAAGGGATCTGGGAACAACGCTGTCAGGAAGTGAGCCCCGTCCACAGGGAACTCTAAGCACAATCTTAATACAAGTGAGTAAATGGTCTGGAAGACTGATCAGACCCCTGCAAAGAGTTGATCTTTAGCATTCTGCTCTGGACCATGTAAATGCCATTGATAAGGGGATATGGTAGAGTAAATAGTTTTAAGGAATCTGACGTTTATTTTGGACTCTTGTGTGCATATACTTTGGTTTATCATTTCAGTTTCAATCGTTTATTATAAAGCCCGGGAGGTGTGAAGTGGTTACAGAGTTCCTGGTCTTGTACAGTTACCGGAGAGGGTCAGGATGTGTTGCAGCGGGGAGCTTAAACATAGGAACTTCCTGATTAGGGAGTTCTCGTGTTGCTGCTTCCGTGGCTCTTTGTGTTTATGTCCTCACATTACAGAACCATACTAGATCACAGGATGTGGGACGCCTAAGAGAGGAGCACCCAAATCAGAGCCTCATTTAGACTGGGGAGGATCAAGCATAAACCCATGTCTGCGCAGAAATGCTCATTATCTGCCCTGTATCCTTTCATTTCCTCCATGCACATCAGGGGAGCCTGACACTTATTACTGGTCAGTGCAGAGGGGGCTATCACCAGCTCTCAGTCTTATTTGCATTCACATGTAGACTCCTAGCCACACTGGTGCAGGCCTACACACAGGGACTGGCAGAATCAAGGTAGCGCACTGCTTTAAACATCCCTGTCTTCGTTTCTTTTTAAAGCCACCGAGCTCTCTGCTCTCCAGCTGTGCCACAGGCTTTCGACATCAGCCTGCATCTGTGAGCGGGGACCATTAGCAAAGCAAACGCCACATGACTCAGGAGTGACCCGGGTCGACTGTGGTTTCTGGCTGCTTTCTCACAGAAGAGTTCTTGAAAGTCTGACTCCTTCTCTGATGGGAATCAGGCTACTCACTCCTGTGTCCTTGGGAAAACCTCCTGCATCTGTCTTCTGTTGCACAGCAGCACAAACCCCCTTTTATTTCAGTCTGTACCAACAATTACCCATAGAGCACTGAAGTCTGCCTTATGGATCCCTGGTCTAAGCTACCATGCTAACTTGGAATTAAATTGTGTGCCCATATGAGCATCTGTGCTTACCCGAAAAACTGTCCTTGTCCATGGCGATCAGATCCCGAGCTTGGTATATGTAGCAACGCAGGTGGTATCTGCTTCCATCTTTATTGAGAAACAGGGGGAGAAAAAAGCATTCAGTTCTGCACTGCTGAAGTGCTGGAAAAATCTATGATAATTACACAAGGGACTTGAATGTTTTCTTGGACCCCGAGTGTCAGGTCTCGGGCCTAAGGAAGCCAATCAAGAGTAGTGCCATTCACAGCAGTGGAGTTACTCCAGATTTACACCGGAGGAGAATCTGGCCTGCCTATTGTATAATATCTGGTGCATGGGATAGTCTAGCCTTTGAGTTGTGAAAACCATATTTTTGGTCCCACTACAATCGCATGGGAAATGCACCAGGTCCCTGCACTGATCCGATGGACCACACACTGACGCTCATTGGGGCAAATCTTGTCTCCAATACTCTGCCTTAGGAGCTGAGCTGTGTACCTGCAGGGAGCAGAAAGTGGTGTTCCATAGAGAAATCCTCTCCCCTAAGGCCCCAGAGCGGGTTGCACATCGCACACATCCTGCGAGTCGGTGCATCCACCTAGCTATGGATGCAATGATGTAAGTCTCACCCCCATCCCCATTCCCTTTGCTGTTCCCAGCTTTTTCACCAAACAAAAACATCCTTCCAGGCACAGGACCCCTGTGTGGCAATGTATGCTGACAGAAGGAGTTTTTCTGCCAGCAGAATACTCCCACTACACTGAAAGACATTATCTGAGCTGACAGAAACACTCTTCTGTTGACATAATTGCATCTACAGTGGGGGGGTTGAGGTTCCCTGGCATCTCTGTCACCAGAGTGTGAGTGGTTTTTTTAACACCCCTGACTGACGTAGCTGTGCCAACATAACTTTGTAATGTAGACCTGGCCCTGGGCACCTTTTAAAAATGTGGATCCTGGTCTTATTAACCCTTATATAAACAAATCTACATTCAATCCCAACCTCTTCTTTTTGGTCTGCTTCCTCCGGTGCCTCGCCTCATCCTGATAGCAGGTGAGTCCCCAGGGAGCAGATATTACAAGGCTTTCGTCAGTGGCAAAAAACACCACAAAAACCAAAAGTCCCATCCGCGCGTCAAGATTGCACATCATGGAAAGAGGATCTCGTTTAGATGAACACATATGATACACCAGCATGTTGGACACACCTACGTCAAGGCCCAATCAAGACTGCTGCGTTGCTCTGCTCAGGATGGAAATGAGCTGAACCTTCAGGTACTGGGGAACGGACGTGAGGTAAACTGGGATATTTAGGGTGAAATTTACCCCTGTGCAGAGAGACAAGCACAAAGCCCGGGCACCCTCTGGGCTTCACTGGATCTCAGGTGGTGCCTGGGCCTTGTGAATGTCACCCATACATCCTAGATGACTTACAATCAAATATGCAGGAGATGGTGGGTCTGTTGACGCCGAAGCTCAAGGTCGAAACCGATTTGCCATCGTCGCTCTTGTCGTCTGTCACGCCTCCCTGAAGGAGAAATAGACGTAACATGAGTCCCGCAGAGCTCAGCTTTTGAATAACCCTCTGTTGGACACAGGGCCATCCCTAGAGAGGTGCTGGGCCCAGGACATAGGCACCGAGTTTCTAATTGGCCGGGCCCCACTCCCACTCCACCCTTTCCCCCAAGGCCCCACCCCTGCCCTGCTTCTTCATTGAGGGGAGGGATAGCTCAGTGGTTTGAGCATTGGCCTGCTAAACCCAATCCTTGAAGGGGCCACTTAGGGATCTGGGGCAAAATCAGTACTTGGTCCTGCTAGTGAAGTCAGTGGGCTGGACTTGATAACCTTTCAAGGTCCCTTCCAGTTCTAGGAGATAGGATATCTCCATTAATTTATTTAATTTATTTATTTATTGCCCCAAGAGCTTACAACCTAAATAGACCAGAGGTAGGAAGGAAAAATGACTTGCTCAAGGTCCCAGACCAAGTCAGTGTCAGAGCCAGGAACAGATCCCAGGTCTATTGAGATCCAATCCAACACCTTAGCCCCTGGACAATGCTGCCTCTCTGACTTCCTGCATGTCACTGTCCTGCACACCACAATCACTTTGAACTCGACAGCTAAAGCAGGGGTAGAACCCAATTTCTCTTACTTCTGGTGCACCGACCCCAACCCTTGAGCAAACAGAAAATCGCAGATGGCCATTTAAGGCCTATGACACACAGATAAGCAGCTCTGACCCCATCCACCAGAGCCCGGTACATCACAATATTATTGTACAATTCAGAAAAAAAAGCAATGTGCGTCAGCAGCCCTTCAGTCGCATTGTTCTATTTGAAAGATCTCACAGCACAGGTACTTAAACTGTTTCACTAAGTCCCCTTGTGAGTAAAATTAATGGAGTATAAATTTTGTTAATGGTGATACAGATGGTGTCAAACGCAGTGAAATACTCCATTCGCCGCTTGAAAGGATCCTCGCCTAACCTGGGCCAACGCTTTTTCCTCTTCTTGTTTTTGCGTGGGCGCACCGGCCCTTTATCACCTCCTAATTGCCCTATGTGACTTGAAATATTTAGTTGCAGGAAAAGGTGCATAAAGATAACTTCCTGGCTAGCGTCAATGGGATCTTTAAATATTTCCAATTAGCCAATGTTTGGGAAAGACGGGAGGGAGATATTTGAAAATAGGGCTGAGATGGATTTTCCAGAGCCATGGGCCGCCCGGGCCCAAAAATGCATCAAAGAACTTAGGTGGTCTGCAGAACCCTTTCTGCTTTCCCAGGGCAGGAATTGTAATTACCAGGGCATTGTCTGCCGAGGAAGCGCTGCGGTTTGCGGGGCAATGTATTTACAATAATTAGGTCATGCCGAGTTTTTAAAAGCTGACCTCCTTTTCTTTCCCTTTTACCCCCCACCCCCATGTCTCTCAACTCCCTCCCCAGCCAGGTTTCCTTAGCGTGGAGAAAAACCCAGAGCCCCAGCCTGTGTCTAAAGAATTTGCCGGGAGCTGAATAGTTCCACTATTTTGATGACCTTTTCACCAAACATGCAGGACGGCCCGGCACGTGTCCTGCCGTTCGAAAGCTACAATGCAAAAGTTCCCAATCCACACAGCGTTGTTCCGTGGCCACAGCGGCGAACAGAATCTGCGCCCAGCCCTGCTGTTCCAGGGACGTAGCAGGCACTGAGCCAAGCAAGGCCTGCCGAGGGCAGGGGGGACCGGGGAGCCCACAGCAGGAAGGGCAAGCTCTGTGCAAATGGCAAAAGAGGTCCCCTGTACCCCAACACAGGGAGGAGGGTTTGGTGTGGGTCAGAGGAGGGACATGGCCCTGGGCCTGATCCAATGGAAAGACACCTTTAAGAATGAATGTGTTTGCTTAGAAAGAGAGGTAACTTAACTGAGGGTAACTAGGCTATTATTAGCCTCTGAGGAAGGAAGGCAAAGCCGAGCAGCTGAGGCAGTTTGTGTTGCTGGGGAATTCGTAGTGTAGGCAGGGAACTGTGCAGCCTGGAAAAAACCCCGTCAGGAGGCAGAGAGACACATGTCTCCACCCAGGAAAGGTGATGGCTGGGGAACCAGAAGCCTGAAAATGGATGACAGAGGGGGGGAATACAGGTGCTGCTGCTCTGAACCGTGACAAACCAAACTTGTAATCTCATCAAAAACAGATCTCAAGGTCGTTTGACAGGATCTATTTTCCATAAACCCATTAATTATATTACCCTCCTTTCATTCATTATTAATCATGTCCTGTATCAGCCACTCCATTATCTGGCCTGAGATTGAGGTCAGACTGACAGGCCTATAATTACCCGGGTCACTCTGTTTACTCTCTTCAAATATTGGCACAACATTAATTTTCTTCCGGTCTTCTGGAATTTCCCTAGTGCTCCAAGACGTATTGAAAATCCACATTAACAGTCCAGTGAGCACCACAGCCAGATCTTTTAAAACTCTTGGGTGCAGATTAACCAGATCTGCTGATTTTAAAATCTCTAACATTAGTAGCTGGTGTTTAACACCTTCCAAGAGATACTAGTGGAATGGAAAGAGTGTTATCATATGATATGACATCATCATCACAGAAGCACTGGAGAATATATACTGTAGTTCTGTATGGAACAATGCTATACAGGCCCAGGGCGGGAAAGCATTGGGTAGGACCCACCAGGCCTTTTCCATCACTAAATTCAAGGGCCTGACCCTCCAGCCTTATTGCAGGTCACACTCCTGTCAACCCTGAAGCCCCATTGCTTCAGACCTGTATAACTCGATTGGAGAGTGGTTCCAGAGAATGCCCTGTAGGGAACAATCCTGCATTGGCTGGGGAGGGAAGGATTGGAATGAGCCAGTTGGCCTTTTCCATCTCTGACTTCTCAGACCCTTGCTGGAGCTTGCAATGGGAGCAGGTTCAGGGCGGTTAGTGGGAAATGATACTGTATCGGCAGCCATCAGTTGCCCGGTAAAGTGTGTCATCCTCTCTGAATTTGCTTTAAGGGTCAGGAGTGGAGGATGCCTAGAAAAATGGGTAAAGAGGCAAACAGGTCCCTCGTCCCCCTGACTGTCCATCATCCCTGCAGACAACAACAAGCCCACGCCAACGGCATGTATCGTTACTCGTATAACGCACTGGTGAGTCAGCCAAGATGGCCAGTTGAGGGCCTCGGCCACTCAGGGGAAGTGTTCTCCTGGCTCCGCCTGCGCTGTGCGAATGTATTTTTCTAAGGCCTTGGCGGAACGTCCTGTTCCTGAAGTGAGTGAGGGGACCTCGTCCCAAGACACGGGTGGCCGTAGGGAGAGCTCCTGAGAACTTCTGGGAAAACAGGCCAGGCCACCCAGAAAAGAGCCCCTTGTGGAGTGGAAAGCAGAGGGGCGAGTCCATCGGCGGGAAGATGGATCAGTGCTTTGCGTGAGTGGGAGGCAGCGTTGGAGGCAGCCTCGCTGTGTGACAGGCCCAACGGGAGCCCTCCGTCTGTCAGCCTAACTTCCAGCAGGTCAGTGCCAGGGCAGCCAGAAGCCAGCATCACGCGGTGAAATAGTCCCCACAGCGGGAGCATGCGGCCCGGCTCTGGCCAACAGCGCCCTGTGTATGGCCGGAGCACTAGTCTGAGGGGGCACAGAGGTGGAGCGGCCTGTGTCTCTCTTTAACGGCCATCGGAAGTGGTTTGGATGGGTGTGTAGGTGTGAAATAGGAGGCTGTGCATAGAAACGGGGGTGTGGGTGTGGGGGTGTGTTACACAGAGAGATTGAGGATCCAAGGAAAGAATATTAGTAAGGATACAATCAGGCTCTCCCTGCCTTCTAACGTAATGAGGCATGTTTCCCTCCTCAGCATGAGGCGGAGGGAGATGGAGTTGCCGTGGCTACTCCTGGGCTCAGCAAGGGCTGCTTGGCCTCTCACAGGCCTCAAGCTCTCAAGCCGTGGCCCGTCGGCCAGCAGCGGCCAGGGCACCGCTACCAGGTAGCCCACGGAGCTGCTTCCATCCCAAAGACGGAGCAGCTGCCATCTACAAGCAGAGGCACTTCCTGCAGGCCGTTGCCCGGTGTGGGTCTGGATTAGGCTATCTGGGGCAAAGACCTCGGGCGCTATTCCGTGCCCTGCGTGGCAGCTTCTTGCCTTTCACCAAGGGGTCGTGCTGCAGGGTAAATTAACCCGGCACCAAGGCTGGGGCAGGAGGCAGAACACAAGCTGCACAGTGACCTGGAGAGAGCAGAGCGGCGTGGGCTCTGTCTTACTGCGCATGCACACCGTGCCCGTCATCCGTCTGTCTAGTGTACTAACGTGGCTTCGTCAGTAAGCGAGCCACCCCCCAGACAAGTGGATGGTGCAGGCCCAGGGGGCTGCGTGGGGAGAAGCCTAGGAGGATTAAAATCCTGAGACTGGTCTCTTTTGGTTTATGTCAGTCTGCCAATTTCTGTTCTGCAGATGCCACTTTCCTCCTGCTAATGCCCCCTCTTCCACCCTGAGATCTGCCTGGAACTCATGGGATTGGCAGACTATGGGGACAACCCCCCCCAAAAAAAACAACCTGCCCCACCCAACAAAAGAATAAGCTAGAAACTCCCCAGGATGAAACCAGCCGGGTCCCCCTTCCTGCCTTTGCTCACTGTCCCCTGATTCAGTGGCACGCTTGTCTGACCGGAATGGCAGGATGAAGATCACTGCCCACAGCTGAGAGCAATGTACAGGGTCAGTCCCATTCCCAGTGAGCTCAAATGCACAGGTCCCATTAACTCCCAGGCCCTATATGAACTGAGAGCTCAGCATAATTTCCAGTTGGCCGGATAACCTATGGACACAGATCTCTAGAAGCAGACTGGAGCAGTAGAAAGGAGCTAACCAGCCTGGCTGACTGACCCTCTGCCATCACGCACAGGGGTTCTTCCCTGGAGACATCCTGCCTGGCTCCGTGCTAAGAAGCTGGTCCACTAAGAGCGCCATTGCCTGTTCACACCATTAGTGTCTGGATCGAAGGGGAATTCGTTTTTTCTTTTCTCCCAGAGATGGAACTGCTGGAAACGGCAT